TGAGGCTCACCGCATGCATTACAATCTGATTGTCTAATTGCCTTTAGATCTGATATTATTTATTACAAGGGCCTGCCTGATTGGATACAGATTGGTTGGATGGATTAGGTAGGTCCTTCTATTACATAGTTATGTTAGCTAAAGTTGATTGTACAGGGTCTATATGGTCACATTGTAACATGTATAGTGACTACGCTACTAAAACTAAGATGGTTTGGCTAGAGTTCCTATGTAGAGTTCCAAGATACAGTAGGAAGACTCCATTCCTCCCCAGCCCCCCCTTTCTTCCTCAGAATACACATAACAAGGAAGCTGCCAACAAGCTGATTTAAATGCTGGGCGTGGATAAGAATGACAATATCAGCTTTAAAGAGTGTTGGACTTTGATTCGGGAGATCGCCAGTAAGCTGAGCCAAGAGATGCTCATGCATTGCCAGGAACCACGCTGCAATTAAAAATATGACTGCAATTAGGAAACTCACCTTACGGGAGGCCAGGTAACACATCATAAAATGTTTCAGCCCTCCTGTGTCACACCCCTAGACTTTTCTGATTGGGTGGGTACCTGGCTGGGCCTTTCTGATTGGGTGGGAGCTGGTTGGGTTTTTCTGATGGGGGGGGGGGGGGGGGGGTGAGGGCCCAAAAAAGCTGCTGCACAGGGCAGTCGCAGACCTCCTTTACCATCAAGAAAAGAGTATCTGCCAAGAGACCTACTTTTAGAGAGCTGTTCCCAGATCCATCTTCTTCTTCATTGATTGGACTCTGCTGGACTTATAGGACCCCCGACTCTGCTAAGTAATTTCATTGTTATGTCCTTTCTGTTTTACTGTTGTATTATTTGTCTCTTTAATGTAACATCTTTCTCTGCACTTATTTCTTTATTAACCCTTTTGTTGCTATGTCATATTTTTGTGCACATGTTATAATTCACATTTTAGGACTGAAGTTTACTTAAAGCCCTGGATGCACTGATACTGATACTAGTATCGGTGCCGATACAAGTATTTGGGTGAGTATTCATATGGAGTCAGCTTCCTTTCCAATCAGGAAGCTGGGAGGTGGGTCATGATGTGCTGCCCGGCTTCCTGATTGGCTAGGAAGCCAGCTTCACTTGTTGGTAGGCAGCCCGGTTTCCTAACCAATCAGGAAGCCGGGCGGCACGTCATGACTCCAGTTCCGGCTTGCCAAATGGTCAGGAAGCCACGCTGCCAAGAAACAAGTAAAGGTGGGTCATGATGTGCTGCCTGGCTTCCTGATTGGCTGGGAAGCAAGGTTCACATTTTGCTAAGCGACCTGGCTTCCTGACCAATCAAGAAGCTGGATGGCACCTCATGACTCACCTCCCATCTTTCTGATTGGTCAGGAAGCCAGTCAGGCTCTGAAGCCGGTGTTCTTTTGCTAGAACACCAGCTTCACAGGCAATCAGGAAGCCGGGTCATGATCTGCCGCCCAACTTCCTGATAATCAGGGCACAACGCACCAGTACTCGATACTCGGTACTTGGTATCGGCGCGTACCAAAAAAAATATTGGTACTTGTACTCGATACCGAATAACTGGTATAGGTGAATCCCTACCTAAAACCCCCCATCGTTACGTTTACGGAAAGCGGAGACCCTGTAGAATAAAATAGAGGGGGTCACAAATTTTTATGTCGCCTGATATCAGTGCAGCTCCTTACCAAACCCAAAATTTTGGTAAAAAATACACTTAAGTTTATTTGAGCTCCCAAAAAAAAACAAAATTTAATACTTGTTTTTTTTTATAAAATGTACAAGATGAGGTGGTGCTGAGTAAACAGATACCCAACATGCCAAGCTTAAAAATTGTGTGTGCCTGTGAAACGGCGAGAAAATATGGTACCCCCAAATTGTCCATAGGCACTAGTGTGCCTGCATTCCAGGTGCGGGCGATCGCACTGTGGGCGGGGTGTGTGGCTGCAGTGCAACTGACTTCAATGCACCGCCACACCCCCTCCCACCCCTGCATGCAGGGAGCTGGCCAGCTTGCGTTCCAATGCGTTCCAGAGGCCGAACGCTCTGGAACGCGGCCTTTGTGGTGTGAACCGGCCCTTAAGGTGACATTAGTGGTCTATTAGACCTTTGCACTTCAAAGAAGCTGATGAAGCAGAGATTGAGCATGATGATTATTATTATACAGGATTTATATAGCGCCAACAGTTTGCGCAGCACCTTACAGAAGACATTACAATCACAATACAATTCAAGACAAGATGGTAAGGAGGGCCCTGCCCCTGAGGGCTTACAATATAAAAGGGAGGGGCAAGTGATACATGAGGAGGTAGCTGTGTGGGGATGAATTGTTTGAGAACGTGATGGTTGAACGCTTAGGTTGAGGTGGGATAGGCTTCCCTGAAGAGATGAGTCTTTAGGGAATGCCTAAAGGCAGTCAAGGTGGGTGACAGACGGACAGGTTGGGGTAAAGAATTCCAGAGGATGGGAGAGACTCTAGAGAAGTCCTGGAGGCGAGCATGGGAGGAGTTGACAAGGGAGCTGGAAAGCAGGAGGTCTTGGGATGAGCGGAGCCGACGGTTAGGGTGATACTTTGAGACCAGGTTGGAGATATAGCCGGATCAGCTTCTTCCCTGGGTTCTCTGGCCGTAGAATGACCAACTGAGAAGCCGGAAGTGATACAATTAGTGTTGCTTCCAGTTTCATTCAGCGGGGAGGAGACCAGCAGACAGAAGTTCGCTGGTTTCTCCCCCTCTACCCACCGACAACCAAGAATCCGGGCCTGCAGAAGGGGCAGCAGAGACTGGAAAGCAAGGCAAGGGGTGTCAGGTGGGGGTGAGGGGCGGGTCTTTCTTTACCGGCCCCAGGCGCAATCTGGCGGCTTTTCAGCCTCCAGAATCGCTTCCAGTGTAATGCTGACAGTCGGTTTTAGCAAAAGGGTTAAAAAAGGGTTAAAAAGGATCCTTTACATCGTTAATCTTATCTCTACACTCTAAATAAGAACTGAAAGCACCCTTGTCGCTGTAAATGATTGCTACCAGGGCCGGCCTTAGGGGTGTGCGAGCTGTGCGGCAGCACAGGGCGCCATGGCAACAAGGGCGCCGTGCGGCCGACACAGCTTGTCCTGGGGGCGGCTTCTCCTATGTAACGTCATGCTCCCCGCCTCCAAGATGGTGACACGCATTCAGAGAACACGCCGGTGGCCAACATGGCCGCTGCACATTCTCAAACAAATTACTATGTGCCTGAATACATTTTTCGTATATTCGGACATATAGTAATTCATTAATATAACATGTAGTCTGGGTTCTGTGTTCTGTTTTCTATTTTTACTTTTCTAGATGCACTTACTTGAAAAAAGGGATCGGCATGACATCCTGACACTTTATTTTTATAGACTCTATTTTAGTTTGACGTTTATCATTTGCCTTCAGTTGTTTTATGTAATAAGAATACTTATATTGTGCCGACATGTTTAATACCTTTGAATAAAAGTTTTATTTTTATCATACTTTTTAATATGTTTCTTTGCGGCTTAACAAAATAGGGTGTTTAAATGGTGCGGATATTGGGGGAAATGGGTGTGGCCACTAAAGGGTGTGGCCACTGAGGGGCGCTGTAAAGCTTTCTCGCACAGGGCGCCTAAAGGCCTAAGGCCGGCCCTGATTGCTACCATATCGTGAACCTTGTTATATTCCTGTCTGGAGATACAGTGGCATCACAGGCATTGATTGAGATCAATATTGTCACAGGCATTGGCTGGGAACGGTGCGTGTTTCGGATAAAACACGTGGTGGCGGCTGTTATTGTGTGTAAAGGGTTAATTGCAGAGATAACCAACCCCAGTGATGATCACTCTCAGTCTGCTGGCCTCAGATTGTTGTCCCCCGAGCTGGAAAATCTCTGTGCAGGGTGAGGCTGAGAGTGGCATCATCACATATTGGTGGCAGCACGGTGGGACCTGATCTGCCATTTGTCACAGGGGGCACATCTAGAATAGGGGGGTAGCTTTGGGTGCTGAATGGGGGAACATATAGATTACAGAGTAAAATCTGGGTTCTGGAGAAGGGGAGGATCTAGAATAAGGGGCAGCTTTGGGTACTCCAGGGGGCACATCTAGATTAGAGGGGCAGCTTTGGGTTCTTGAACGGGGACACATCTAAAATAAGGGGGCAGCTTTAGGATCTGGAAGGGGTACACATCTAGATTAGGGGGTAAGCTTTAGGTTTTGGAGGGGGGACCACATCTAAGTTATGGGGCAAGCTTTGGGTTCTGCATGGGCACATCTTGGTTAGGGGGATCTTTGGGTTCTGGAAGGGATGTACATCTAGAATCGGGGGCAGCTTTCGGTGCTGCAGAGGGAACGCCTAGAATAAGGGGGCAGCTCTGAGTACCAGAGGAGGGCATATCCAGAATGGGGTGGCAACTTCAGGTACTGCAGGCAGCCCTTCCAGAACGGAGGGAACTTTGGGTTTTGGAGGGGACACGTCTAGAATGGGGGGCAGCTTTCAGTGCTGCAGGGAAACATCTAAGAAGTGGGGCACCTTTGAGTCCCAGAGGGGGGCATATGTAGAATAGGGGGGCAGCTTTGGGTTGTGGAGTGAGCACATCTAGAAAGGGGAGCAGCTTTCAGTGCAGCAGGGAAACATCTAATAAGTGGGGCACCTCTGAGTCCCAGAGGGGGGCATATGTAGAATAGGGGGGCAGCTTTGGGTTCTGAAGGGGGCACATCTAGAATAGGAGTGGCAGCTTTGGGTTGTGGAGTGAGCACATCTAGAAAGGGGAGCAGCTTTCAGTGCAGCAGGGAAACATCTAATAAGTGGGGCACCTCTGAGTCCCAGAGGGGGGCATATGTAGAATAGGGGGGCAGCTTTGGGTTGTGGAGTGAGCACATCTAGAAAGGGGAGCAGCTTTCAGTGCAGCAGGGAAACATCTAATTTACATATAACTAAGACTTACTGACTTGGCTCTCCATGTCTCTCTATTTCCTGCCTTCCTTTTGTGCTCCGCAGCCTGCTCTCGGACGAACATGGCAACAACTTCCACTAATTTGGAGTCCGCCATTGAAACAGTGGTGCGTAATTTCTACACGTATGCGCACAAGAAGGGGAAAGAGTACAAGATGAACAAGGCTGATTTCCATAAGATGGTGGAACAGGAGTTGCAGCATGTGCTGACAGTAAGAGGGGCGTTTATTCTTACAATGGGTGACCATGGGGGTGGGGGGGTATTTTACTAGAATGGGAATATGTGCGGGCCTTTGCCAATTGATGGTGGATCACCAACACGGCCTTCCTGACCCCCGGATGCTTTCTTTTGTTTAGGACATGGCTTAGGCACTAATGGATGGGGTGTGTGTGGCTAGTCATTTCCTGCTGCACCCTGTTCCTTTCATTTCCAGTCCTGGTGTCACTGAAAAATATACATTGACATATATATTGATTGGATACAGATTGGTTGGCTGGATTAGGTACATAATCATAATAAATACTTTTGGGAGATCTAAAGTTGATTGTACAGAGATTGCATGGTCAGATTGTAATGTACATGGTGACCACACTACTGAAAATAAGACAGTTTGGCTAGAGTTCCTATGTACATATGAACGATACAGTAGTAGGGCTCTAAAGGTTCTCTGTTTTTCTCCCCTTTTCAGAATACAGAAAACAAGGAAGCGCTAAAAAAACTGAGCAAGAAGTTTGACGCGGACAACGATGGCAAGATCAGCTTTGACGAGTATTGGAAATTGATTGGGGAGATCGGCAGGAACCTGGGCCATCAGATGGCCATGCAGGGCTAGAAATGACCTCAGCACCAAAGCGCCATGCCTCCTCATTCCAGCGGGGGGCACTCCTCAAAAAAGGAGCTTTACTGGAAAGCGCCATTGGGGAACAAAGTATGTAACGTAATGTGTGTCTTTGAGCCAAGTAACAAAGTCCAGGAGCGACCCAAACTTAGGTCAACCACGGCTGCTATTGCTTATATCTTATGTTTCATTCACATCATATATCCACATTTCTATTTACTCAATCTCCAGCCTGCTCCATAATGATTATTGTAGCAACCAATCAGAATTCTGCTGAGCCATCGCCGCCGGAGGAGCAACGGGGATGCCAAATTCTACACCTCCTCCGTCTCACTTGTGACTCGACGTTGGCCATCCGCCTTAAACCCAACATCCCTGCCAGTTCAGCCCTTGCATCCTCTACCCCACTTGTACATCATCGATGGGTTGGCACTCACGCTTCCAGAGGCCTGGTGGCACCACCAAACCCTTATTTCTTGGGGAGTCAAGATAGAGGCTGTCGAGTTCACCCCCAAATGTCCTAAGTGGTCAATTCACTGATTGAGTTTATATAAAAATACAATGTTGTTAATTTTTGCTGTATTGCAGTATTTTATGGCAATTTTTCTTCACTGCAAATAAAGCTGATTTTGATTCTTTTAATTACAAATGCAAAGCTTCAGAGATTTTATCTTGTCGATAGCAGCGTCTGATCCATTGGTAGGGGTGGACCGGCGTCGCCTGGTGGGACGCCTTGGAAGGCAATTTCCCATATCAGAGATCCTCAGATAAGGGTTTTGGGAAATAGGTGGAGTGGCTTTGATAAATATTGAACCAAAGTTGTCCGGGTTCCATCAAATATATTATAAGGATCCAAAGTACATTGTCACAGGGCCGGGGCTCACCCTGTTTAATGTTAAATAAATGAGAGAGGTTTGTGAGTCACATGTCCCAACTGATCACGACATGGCCAATGAGATACAAAAAGCAGCACAAAAGCAACAAAAATCCTCAACAAAAAACTTTTAGCCCTTCTGGGACCTTCCGTAATATTCTTCCATTGGGGGGTCATATCTTCTGCTATATCATCACTCCACCCCAATTTCTCCGAAATACTAATACCAGAGACAGTGATGGTATCGGGGACATTCCGTGCACTCTATAGCGGATCAGCTTTTATTGTATTGTTTCTACAGCTAATATGGAACAAGTGAAAATATCATTGTTTACATCTATCTGTAAAATTCTAACATATACCACGGTGGTGTACAGAGAACACTGAGCCAGTCACATCAGTCTCTGTACAGAGGAGCTTACACTCTAATGTCCCCCCACAGTCACATCAGTCTCTGTACAGAGGAGCTTACACTCTAATGTCCCCTCCCCCACAGTCACATCAGTCTCTGTACAGAGGAGCTTACACTCTAATGTCCCCCCCA